GCAGCTATGCAGCAGCAGGCAGAACCTTTGGGCCCAAGCCATCCAGACTCTTCTTGATGCCTGTCACGAACTGGCTTCCTTTTTGTCCAAAGGAAAGTATTTAAGCCGTTCCGTGGCAGCATCCTACATTCCACATTTGGCCAAATTTTTTACAATTTGGCCCAACCTTCAGACTGAGCCGACTGTGCAGACATGGCAGCCAAAGATACGCCAACATTTGAGAGGATGTGGATGGAAGTGCAAGGTCCAGTGCGTAAGGGCTTGCAGTTTAGAAGGTTGGATGTTTGGCTCAATGCAAACCGGCAAACCAAAGGCATTTGTTTTGATGCCGGTTGGTCGTTGATGCCTTCTTCTCTTCAATGTCCCTTCCATCGCCCTTCCCCCCTACGCCCATTCGAAGTGCTGTATTTGCTATTCCACACGATCTTGCGTGCGAAATTATTTCACACAAAGAAGGGCATGCCAATCTCCACAGGTTGGCTCACATCTATTTGGAGAAGGCGGATCTTGCCGGTGAGGTGGGAGGGAGCCAGTTCCTTAGGCACAGCTGAGACTCGACTGACTGGCTGCTGTCCGGACTTCTGACAGACTCGTGCAAGGTTCATTCCTGGATCTTGCTGCCCGTGCGTGTGCAGATGCGGTGGCTGCAGCCGGCAAAGTCAGGAGAAGCATGCTGCTTTAATAAACAATAAATAACAAATGTATACACATGTTGAACTTGCCTATATGGTCAGTTAAAGTCACGTCCCTAGTTTGCTGTTTCGGAAGTGCGTTTAGGATAGTAGCTTTGTCCTTTAACTGTTTGACCTTGGTTGCGCTCCAGGATGCTGCGAACCTGGGGCCAAGTGTGGCCACCAAGACGGAACATATTGTAACTATCAGTTCACCAAGCAGATGCACCCTAAAGAACATAGGAAAACATATCAACACCTTATATTACATGTAACATATTGTTGAACATAGGACTGGTTTGAGCTTCGCGTGGTTGCTGAACCCCTGCAAAAGAAACTCGAGACTCGCATTTCTTGCGTCTTTGCTTTAGGCCCTCCTTTTTCGTGGCCGTGCCATGCTACGTCTTGGTCGCCGTACTGAGGCAAGACTGCCTTACATGATGTAATTATGGTAGATTGTGACTATTGTGGGGGTGCGAGGTTTGAGTTCAGGGTTGGGAAACCACTAGCACAAGCTGCAAGACAGCTACTGTAGAGGAGTTATTTCTATTGTGTCAGTGTCAACTGTCCGGAGCTTTCACCTTGACTGCCCAAACAGAGGACCATTCTTGGCCACTTGAGCGATGGGTCCACTCATGCATGAGGATGACTTCAGGGTTGTTCAGTACTCAATATGCTCCGGTCCACCCACTGACTAGGCGACAATTCCCCGTGTTTGACTGAACTTGCCGTGTGCCCCATACGAGCAGAAAACAGCACGTCCAGATGAAAGCCGTCCTCGAGGTTTCCTTGGGAGGCGGCTTTCATTTGAGACCTTTTGGGTTGTTCCATGCCCGATGATGCAGGCTTGGCGAAGTGGAGCGGATTCAGCGAATCGGTGCCAGGTACCGGCCTTGCCTTTCATCGATAGGTCGAAAATGATTGGGCAAACAGATGGCTTTCCCAAAGAAGGCGTATGATGGTAGAATACAAATGGAAAACATCACCTCAACAATAAGAGTTCCTGGAATTTCACTCTCAGTCGTGCCAGGCTGGCAGGTGTAGCATTGTTACTATATTTGAACCTTGATGCGCAGTGGCCAGCATCATGTTGCCGCTAGTTTGTGAACCTACCCATGTACTAGGCTGTTGGATTTGCCTCACCTAAACTACCCGTTACTGTACTGTGCTTGTCGCTTGTTTCCTATTCATACCCGCGGTGCCTCCGACACTCATGTGTTGGAGCTGTACAGTGCTATTTGCCACCTACCTGTTCACTTTGCCGGCTGTTTGGTGTCTAACCATGCTCCATCTACCGTGCCAGCACCAGGAAGCAGGTGATGGACCCGGCATGTGCCGAGCCTACCTTCTTTGCGGTGAGATTCAGCTGGCCTCTCAGTTTTGGTTGACCGTGAGTCACTCAGACGCAATGTGTGAGGGCCCCCAGAGGTTATTTGCTTGAGCGTTTGCGGACGTGCCTGATATGCGCGTTATGCGAGGATTGAGAACAATGAGCTCAACAATGCGTGCGGCACTTGGACAGCTTTCGGGTCATTCAACCTGCATCAGTGTGGCGTAACACCGCTTGCCACTGGGCACTTTCTCTAACTCGGCTTCGGAGCCTTGTCAAGGCGAGAGATCCTGGAGCAAGCGCAGGACATTGCACAAAGGTGCCACGGCCTCGGCCTGGCCTCAGGGGGTGGTCTATCAGGCGTCAATTGATTGACTCCCTGCCAAGGTTTGTAGAGTTTCGAGAGCTAAATGTAGCTTACAATTTAATTATCAAAGCTTTGTTGAAGTCGGGATTCAGCTAAGACGCGGAAAGCATTCTTCTTGACACCCGAGCGGGTGTGTGTATGTGTGTGTGTGTGGTGATGCCTTTTTCTGTGGCAGCACGATCTGGACGTTGCGAAAGCCCAAGATTTCAGGTTCCAAAGAAGGATGGTGACAACCAAACCAAATCACGCGGTTCACCAACCTCGAAACGCTCCCGATGTGGTTGGCGGTCGCACCACGTCCAATTCCGTAGCAAGAGAATCAACTCAAATTATATATCCATTGCTAGCAGTTCCTTATCAACGGTAGCAATATAGACGAGGAAAGGAACGACGGAAAGATACCAGCCTGGGAAGCTGCAGTAGGTTATTGGCAATAAGGCGACAAGCTGAAGCCGAGGCAATGAGGAAGAGCTGAACAAACAAGCTGAAGCTCTTCTTGAACGCCCGGCCCCAAGATGCTCCAAGATGCTTTGGCTCCTCTCCGTCTCGCTGGCGCCGTCCATCGTGATTGTCAGACTGGGCTTCCAAGGTACGAAGGTCAAGGCAACCGCTTCAAACCGTTTCAGACTTTTTGGGCTGATTCAGCTGACATACATTACATTTTTAAGCAGTGCTCCAAAGAGCTTGGAGGCCTTGTCTTCATCCAAACAAGTCGTTCTGAGTGCCGTGCTGTTCTTTGTGGCAGGCTCCTGTTGCAGCTCAACAACTGGAGGATCAGCCTCAGGTTGTTCAGGCAGCTTTGATGTGATGCTGAGTCATGCCACAATGCCCTTCAACGCATCCGTTGGTTGGTCAGGAAAGCGAAAAAGCCGCGGCTCCGGTGGCATGAGCCCAAGACATCCCAGGAGAGTGTGGCATCAAGATGCATCAAGGTCACAAGGAGAAGATCGGATAACATCTGTAACATCGGCATCCATCGGCCTTGCCTGCCAGCCAGCGAACCAGAATGCATCCCTCAAAGATCCTTATAGCAACATGAAAGTCGAACATCGGCCATTTGACGTGTTCCTCCAAGTGCAGTTGCAAAAAGATTGCACAAGGCAGCCAGCGCAGCGGCACCAGCTCAGCCAAAGGGTCGATTTCTGAGCGCTTGTTTTGTGGGATGTTCCTTTCAGAATTTCAATAGGGCCAGGGTTCTAGATACTTACATGCTGGATATTTTTTAGCTGGTGGTTCAGGCTTGGATCCAGTGGTGGTCAGGCGGGGATTGTGCTTACCCAGAAGCACTGGCTCTTGCTGAATTTGTATGGATTGGTATCGATATGTGCCAGTAAAACTGTGAAAAGCAGCATTGCACGAGCATTGTACCAGGAAGACTGTCATGAAGCTGGTCGCAGATGCGATTGTCGCGGTTCCCAGCAGTCACAGGTTTGATGTGTTGGTTTAGCATGCGAAGGTGTGCTTATTTGCGTTGGGGGGGGGGGAGGACGGCGCAGAAAATCAATAGTTGCACAATAAGGCAGACGACGGGGAACTGGAGGTGGACAGCCCTTTCATGGAAGCTGGTATGGACAGTTCTGCCCTTGGGTTCTCGCAAATGCTGTTTGGGTGGGCTCTGATGATTGAATCCGAAAAGGTCTTTCCAGCGTGTCTTTGACGAGTATGTTGGCGAAGGACGTGCAAAAGTGAACATTCTCGACAATTTTTGTCTACAACCGGACCATGTTTCATGCCCATGTCAATGCCTACTATAAAATTTTGCTACTGCAGTTGACGGTGCAGTGAAATTTTAGGAGTTTGGTTTCGCAATGAGCCCTTCATTGGTCTTCGACTTCCCCAACGTGAGAGCTTTGGAGGCTATTTGGGATTGTTTTTGTGATGAACACCAATTTGTATGGAATGGGTGTTGGAAACTGGTATTGTGGCCAGGAACATCTCATCCAAGAGAGCATGAACCAATGAGCAGACCACCTGGCACATCAATTGCAGCCTGCATTTGTCACAACAGTCTTAGGTTATTTAAGGCAATTCAACATTTTGTTGGCAGTGGCAAAATTTGGTAAGAACTCTATTCAGGATGGCACGCTGAACAACGTATTGTTGCTGGCAACAAACGCAACAAAGAATCATTTGTGGTCCAACCTGCCGCTAAATTTGTTCTGTTAGATATCATAGGTATCTTCCCACGCACACTGAAACTGCTTAGCGATCTTGCAGTTTAGATCCTGAGAACTTGACATTCGGTGTTTGCGTGCGATGTTGAAAACAATTTAAACAATTGTCAACACTGAAACTTGTTGCATTTGAAGCATACGCTTCGTGAAATTCTGCATGCGCTTCGTCGGGACTGGCTGACCTGTTCCTGTTTAATTTTTCGAAACGGTCCAGCGGTCATAGCAATCAATCGGCAGATTTTGCGGATTCGCAGAAGAGAAATCGGTGCAGCCACGGCTCAAGCTGAATTGCGTGGAGCCTCCATTAATTAGCTCATCGCCTGACTTTGCAGATCCTTTGCACATACTGGTACACAGTCCAAGACTTCCTTAAATCAAGTTTGCTGCTGCTTTAAGCAACATTTATGGAGTCACTGTATGTGAGTACTGAAGTGACCAATATTCAATGTGACATTAACATTTAATCCAGCAAAGCATGAACATCACAAAAAATCCGACCCAGTAATGGCTGGGGATAGGCTCGACTCAAGCACTCCTTGATTTGGTATCCTTTTGTTTGTGCGATCGATGTTTATTTGTCATCAGGGCCGGCATTCATGAGGAAAAGGACAAGGTGCCGCACTCAGAGGTTGCATAGTTTGACATCACACTGACCATTAACTTATATGTATATAACAACAATTATTGGCACGTCTAAAATGATACATGCCAATTTGCTAAGTATTGATATGCACACAAGCATCGATGCAAATATGCACACAACAGTTATATCAATCTTGATGTCGGCTACTCAGCTAGTGGTCGGCCCACCCAACTTAGGGGCAGAATGAAGCCGCCAAGCTCAATCGAGATGGTCTCCCACTCGGCGACGGCATCCAGACAAACAACAAAATTGTTTGGCGCATTTAGCATCATGCTGACCTCAAGGGAACAGCCAATGCTTTGGCCAACAAAGTGAATCATTTGCATAACTCTTCAAATGGTTTGGACAGTTTGGACAACAAGTGACAACTTGGTTCTTGGTTTGCATCACTGTCCTTGGTGAATCCATAGCAAACCATTTGTGACCACTTTTTGTGTTGTCCTAATGCGAGTTTTTTTTTTAACCGAGGTGTCCAGGCGTTTGGTCGAGGGGACTTTCCACAGGACCGGGAGTGCTCCGGACGCTGGGGATGCGAATGGACACGAAGGGATTGATTCACCATGCTTCACAGCTTCACATTGATTCCATGAGAAACAATAAGCTACTAGGAACAAGTGCATCGCTAGTAGTAACAGGTGCCTTACTAGTAGTAACAAGAAGCTATTAGAAACTCACAGTCGGAACTCCGAAACCATGCGGACCGTCGGGTCTGACCGTCGGGTCTGACCGTCGGGGTGTGACATGGTAAGACCGTCGGGTCTGGACCGGAACTCCATGCGTCGAACGAACGGCGAACGAACGGCGCCTTCGGCTTGACCTGCAGGCAATCATTGCCTTCACCAATGCCTTTCGTATGCTGGAAGAGGTTCGGAGGGAGTGATGCCAGTGACACATGTGGTGATCTCACCATGCGGTCATCTCCCAGGCTCCAGTTGTTTGCTCAGAGGCTGGGAGCCAGATAAAGACTTTGTGGAGAGTTGGGAGGTTCTTTGAAAAAAGAAGCCATGAATGCGACATTGTTGATGAAGCAAACGCTGCGTTGGCGCATGTGGTTGCAAAATGATTTCAAAGACGTGGCGGACAAATGCGGACAAAGTGCCAGGATGATGTGTCTTCCAAAGCACGCGCTCGGGAGCTTGCCGTGACTCTGGTCAACCGTGCACGAGCACAGCTGGGTGCTGGCGATGCTTTGCAAGCAGAGAAGGCCCTGGAGGGACCAACGTTTCATGCTCTTCTCTATTAGCGATGGCCTCCCAATGCCTCCAACATCTTCCAACCTAAGGCACAACTTTGATGTGTTCAAGGGATTTCAAGGGTGCGCATACATACGGCTTTTGTGCTTGTGTGAGATGCCGCAGGATGCTACTCAAGCATCCAGCATTGCAGGGGGGCTCGGTCGCACATTTGATTTGACGACCTGTTTCATGACGCATCGCATGTTGCACGCAGCATAGTGGCTCACGCCGATTCATCGCCAGGACTCTTCATATGGCAGAGCCAAGACTGTTTTGGCTGAAGCATATCAGAAGCAAGGCTCACGGCGCCTTTCTTTTTGCTTCGGGGGTTTGTTGGGCTGGATTTGTGTGGTCCAGCCATGCAGCCCATTCAGAGCCCCAGCCAGGGCGCACCAAGGACGCCGAGGCCCTTCTGAAGGAGCCACGTCCACCCAGCATGCACTTGACCCGCCTACCTGCGTTGCTACATGCCGCTTCATGGAGGGCTCTAGCAGCTTATGCCAGAAGCCAAGAGTCTGGAATGCACACACTAAAGTTAAAACTAGTGGATTGTTTGACTGTCCATGATTTTAGTAATTACTAATGACTTTAATCTATTTCATGAATGATTCTCAAAACACGATCCATTCTGACACTGACACTGTTTGTATATCCGCAGTTACTAACAGCATCATGTCCTCGATGGTCTTCGATTGTCGACTCCCAATCGAAGCATCAGGCTGTGCTTGCGACTCTCCTCGTCAGCGTGTTGGCTTTGCATCGGCGCCTTGCGCTGGATGCGTTGCACGGGCGACAACCAGTGCTGGGTGCGGAAGAGCTTCGAGAAGTCTTGAGGCCAAGCACTCACACGAAAGAATGACAAGTGTTTGGATGCCAGGAAACTTGAATGGATGCGCTGCTTGCTTTGATATGTTTTGATTAGTCTCTCTCCAGAGCGAAGTTGGCCTATAGCATCGGCTTTGAAGTGTCTCTTTTGCAGGTATAGCTCAGGCTATGGCGTCGGCAGTTTTCCAGCTCGTATCCGGCCGGAGCGTGTTGAGGCTGACAAGTCGACACATGCACAAACTTAGGAGTGTTTTTGACTGAGACCACCGACGTTTGCCCTCCAAGGAACTATGAAAGAATGCAGACTCAACATGAACAGTATTCTATTTATTACTTATAACACCCCCTTGCTACCGACAACCTAAAGTGGGTGTGGTCAACCATGCTTTTGTCATTTTTTATGACTCATTTAGTAATATGGAAAATTCAATAAGCCTCAATTGAAGTGGGTGTGGAAACCTAAAAGGTTTGCTCAGCCAAATTATCACTTTGGCTGTTCTTACGTGTTTGTGCCAACCTCTAGGTTTCGACGGTCATTTCCGTCACTGTAACTTTTCAGGTCCTCTGAATCATGAATTAACTGGTTTGCCTGAAGTCCAGGATGCGCAGAGGGCTTTGAAAACGACCTCAGCGCAGGCCAGTGCGGCTAATCAGATTTTATTTCCGTTCATTGGATCATTGCAGTTCTTGCTTGTCACTTGTCACTGATGAGCTGGCAGGAATGGTCAACGTTCATGAATCAGGCAGCGTCCGAAAGCAACATCAGACAACAAAGTATCACCGATGTGACCGCCAGATTGGCAGGCTTTTGGACGTCAGATTCCACAGGAGGATGGAAAGCTGTTGCTTTTCTCCTGGGGTGAAAAGACGCCAAAGACACTTGGCAAAATGCAAACACACTCTTTGTTGTTCAATTCATTCCCGGCCAGAGCACGTGCAAGCATAGAACACGATGAAACCCTTTGTCAAATGTTCGGGTATGTTCAGGTTGTTTTCATTTTTTCGTGATGTCGTGGCCAGGCTCCTTTCAGTCAGATCTCAAAAATGGTCAGGGCCAAACAAAGAATTGATGATAGCAACTCCTCACAACCAAGAATTAGGGTCAATCAATCGATCGATGACATCTTTGCACCAAGTTTGTTGACAAAGAGTTGAAAGGCTCAATCCGGGGCAATCGCGTTCTTTTTGAGGCAAGGGAAAGGTGGAAAAGAGGTCGCTGGCGCTCCCTGGATCGGCATGCTGGCTTTTGTTCCAAAGATTCTTGGAGCAAAGTTCCGTGACCTTGAAGCACCGCGTCGGTCGTACCGACGAACCGCGTACCTACCACGCGGGCAACAAAGAGAGGTCGAAAGGAAGACTTACGAGTGCGGTAGATTGTTAATTTCTTCATCAATTGGAATAGCTTGCTCGGAAGCAATTAACAGTGAAAGACGTAGACGAATTCTTTGTCTCTACCCTGCCTGGCTGTGTTCATGCAGCTGATTAGGATGCTGAGTACCTTCTCTTTTTCTTCCAAGGATATGCCAAGGTATACGAGTGTACGATGGTATACGGGATACGGCATACGGCTGAGTCAAAGGCACACTGACACTTCGCAAGCTAACCTTTCAGTCGAGAACTTCAGACTTCTAGCGACTTCTAGATTCAGACCCGGGGCTTCAGTCATTTCGCCGAATTCCATTCATCTAAGGGAAGCGAATCCCTTAAAGCTGGTGCAACTCGTGCCAGAGCGGGCAGCCTTTGGACGCTTAAAACGATTGGGGCACAGCGCCAGGCGGTGCATTTGTTTTTCACCATGCCACATGTGTGCAGCATTGTGTAGCAGCAAAACTGTGCAGCACCGTTGGCTTGATTTCCGTGTAAGGTTGGTTTGATTTGTTTTGTGTTGCTTTGCATGCAGGTCATTTCTACAGAAGCAGTTTGGTTTGGGGTGAGGGCCCCGAGAGCCTTCAAATGTCCTTGTACTGCGACTGGAAGTGGCCACTGCAGATGTTTGTAGCATTTGTGCCCCAGCCCAGGTCTGCAAGCGGAGGACTCTTGCCCTTAGCCGGGGCCACCCAGATGTGATCAGGTCTCAGACATTCTCAGATACTCGGGACCCAATGATACGTTTCAATAATTTATCAGGAGAACCTTCAATATGTTAGGATTGGCCTGTTGGCACTTCATGGCTAATCCGCCTCAAGGAACACCAAGAGTCTTTCAATCAGTATCTTTCAGTTTTCTTCCATGTCATGCCCTGTTGAGGCGCTCTTGGTTCAGGGCACGGTGGCTGATGAGCAACGCCTGCCACAGCAGCTGACCTTTGCGCGGCTGTCACTGCTGGTCGTGCTGGTCATAGCCTAACACTCAGGATCTATCAATATAGCATTATAGATATAGCAGCTAATAGCATTAAAAATTCATTAAACACAGTAGTTGTATATTAACTTAAAATGCAATAACATAGCTCGGGAGAGTTTTAACTACATCGGCTGTTCACTCTGTCTGTAGTCTCTTGCACAGATCTCCTCAATTATGGGTTTGCGGCCTTGCATGGTCATTGTGGCTACACACACACACACGTCACTCTCACATATGCGCGCGCACACACTTATTAAATGCGTACGGATCTGGTTGCGGTTTGCCACGCGCCAACCTAGGTTAAAAGGGCCTGAGTAAAACGAGGCAAAAAAGTTGGAGGTCATCGCTCTTAGGTTGGAGGCCGTCGAAGACAGGTTGGGGGACCATCGCTAGTAGGTTGGTGACAAGAAGCAAGAAACAAGACTGCAAAACAATCAAAGTTGGAGGTCATTGCTCTCAGGTTGGAGGCCATCGAAGGCAGGTTGGGGGGCCATCGCTAGTAGGTTGGTGACAAGAAACAAGAAACAAGACTGCAAAACAGTCAAAGTTGGAGGTCATCGCTCTTAGGTTGGAGGCCATGGAAACCAGGTTGGGGGCCATCGCTAGTAGGTTGGTGACAAGAAACAAGAAACAAGACTGCAAAACAGTCAAAGTTGGAGGTCATCGCTCTTAGGTTGGAGGCCATGGAAACCAGGTTGGGGGCCATCGCTAGTAGGTTGGTGACCAGAAACACAAGACAGCCAAGGTTAGAGGCCAATGCGAGTGGTTGGAGGCCAACGAATTCAGGTTAAAGGCCCACGTTACAAGTTTGTAGGCCTACCTGCAAACCTGTAGAGTAGAAGAGAGGAAAAACAGAAGGAAAGGCACCGACACACAAGTGTGTCGAGTGCCATTTCCTTCTGTTTTCCTAAATAGTAGAGCAAGTACACAGTGGGGTGTCCCCCACTGCATCAGCACCAACTGATACCCTCTTCGGCGGACGGGCAGTGTCAGCGGTGACCCGTCCCCTGCTCAAAACCAAAAGGTTTCCTGTGACTCCAAGGGTTTCACACACGCGCCCCCCCGAAGGGAGGCATGCTTGGCCTCCATCCTGCCCGGAAAGGAGGCACCCCCATCCTGCCCGGAAAGGGGCTGTGCGAAGCACATGTGCACGCAACGGAGACACATGAAAATGAAAGAGACGAGACAGACAAAGAGTGTGTGTGTGGTTGCCGACGAAGAGGAACCAAGTGAAGAGGGACAACCGATGAGCCAAACTTCATTGTAACAAACCTGGGGCACCTGAACCAAGTTGAAAGTAGAATACGCGTGCGTGTATGTGTACAAGCTAAGGCCCGGGCGAAAATGCGCACAAGAGAAAAGCAAGGATGAGGATGACGAGACATGAAGACAGAAGGACATCTGCCAATGAAGAGGGAACCAAATGAAAGGGGACAAACCGATGACAGACCAAACCTCATTGAAAAACGTGTTGCAGAAGCCTTGTTTGCTTGTAGGCACGCCACGCGCGAGAAAGGAGGGGGGGGAAGGAGGAAGAAAAGAGAAGGAGAGAAAGGAAGAAACGAAGGTGTTCCCAGCGACGACCCAAGCATCCAAGGACACACCAAAAAGGAAGGGCTCCCAGCTATGACGAAAGCATCCAGCGACGCCCAAGGAAGAAGGAAGGGGGAGAAAAAAGAAAGAGAGAGAAAAAGAGAGAGAGAGAGAGAGGCAGAGAGAGAGAGAGAGAGAAAGAAAGAAAGAAAGAAAGACAGAGAGGGAAAAAGGAGGGAAGAAAAGGAAGTGGACAGGTGTTCCCAGCTACGAGCAAGCGTCCAGGGATACAAGGAGAGGGGTGTACCTGAGCGTTGCATTCAGGAGTACCCCAAAAGGCAAAGAAAGAGAGAAGAGGGCGTACGTAGGGGGAGGAAGGGGGTTTAAGGTCCCGGCAGGTTCCACTGAACCTTGAACAAGCTTTGGTCGCTACAACCACGTGGTGGCGTGCCCGAAGGCTGCCTACTGCTGACCGCTGTGGTCACCTCATGGCTTGTCCGAAGACTGCCCACTTGGAGTTCAATAATCCATCAAGTCTTGGCAAATAACTTTGGCATAAGCCTCATGCTGTCCGCTTCGGACGCCTGCGTTCCGGGCAGGGGGCGCAACGACTATATAATACGGATCTGGTTGCGGCTTGCCACTCGCCAACCGAGGTCAAAAAGGGCCTGAGTAAAACGAGGCAAACAACTTGGAGGTCATCGCTCTTAGGTTGGAGGCCGTCGGAGGCAGGTTGGGGGGCCATCGCTAGTGGGTTGGTGACAAGAAACAAGACTGCGAAACAGTCAAAGTTGGAGGTCATCGCTCTTAGGTTGGAGGCCGTCGAAGGCAGGTTGGGGGGCCATCGCTAGTAGGTTGGTGACAAGAAACAAGAAACAAGACTGGGAAACAGTCAAAGTTGGAGGTCATCGCTCTTAGGTTGGAGGCCATGGAAACCAGGTCGGGGGCCATCGCTAGTAGGTTGGTGACAAGAAACACAAGACAGCCAAGGTTAGAGGCCAATGCGAGTGGTTGGAGGCCAACGAATTCAGGTTAAAGGCCCACGTTACAAGTTTGTAGGCCTACCTGCAAACCTGTAGAGTAGAAGAGAGGAAAAACAGAAGGAAAGGCACCGACACACAAGTGTGTCGAGTGCCATTTCCTTCTGTTTTCCTAAATAGTAGAGCAAGTACACAGTGGGGCGTCCCCCACTGCATCAGCACCAACTGATACCCTCTTCGGCGGACGGGCAGTGTCAGCGGTGACCCGTCCCCTGCTCAAAACCAAAAAGTTCCTTGTGACTCCACGGGTTTCACACACACATACTGTATATATATACACACAAGCACAAGACGTCTGGAAATTTTGTTGTTGCTTAGTTCACAGCATCCAGTAACTAGCTCAACCAGCTTCCTGTTTTCAAGCAGCCATTTGCACTAGACGCTAACAAACCCTGCAGTATACTATTTCCAACATGGAAATTGCACACATGCCCGAATTTTGTAGTCATCCTGATCACCGGGTCACATAGCAAAGTCGGACAAACAATTCATATGGATGGTTGACTCTAAAGAAACATCTTAAGCCACAATTTGTTTGAGTGTTTGTTTTTGGGTCTTTGTCTTCCAAAAGCAGATGCTGTAGTCACTAGACTAAGGCACTGGCCATTGCGTACGGCGTCTATGTGGCTGTAGTTTCCTTGCTTCATGGCTAAACTGTTGAGTTGAGTGCTGTATTCATCACGCGTTTGGGACGCAGAATGGACAGGGTTGGATTTTAACTCAAACAAACGGCTTCAGGTAGTCGGTGTTCTACTGCGTGTGTCTCGCATGGTTCCTTTCTTCAATGCACTGCCCGAGGCGGAACTTCCGGCGGCATCCTGCCATGACGGAGCTCTTTGATCCCAATGGACGGTTTATCATCGGCTTGGAGAAGGACCTCGCAGAAGAAGCGCCAGAGCCTCGGGACGACACCTCGGCGGGTCGGTCCGGCGGGTCGGTCCTGCCGGTTGGTCGGTCGGGGTGGTCGGTGGTCGGTTGGATTCCTTCCTTTCGGTACGGCCCTTTGCATCTCAGACGCAACGTCGACAGAGAGCAGCTGAATTCCTGTAGGCCCGAGCTCAAGCCGCGAGCGCTTGACGATGGGAAGGTCATCATCACCATGAACTGGTTCCTGGGCACAAGTGCTCTTTTTGGTAGCGTCCTTGCTCCTGGTAGTACGGCCAGGAGCCCCTAGTAGCGTCCGATCGCTCCTGGTAAGGCCAGAAGCCTCTAGTAGCATCCAGTTCCTCCTCTCTGAGGTTTATCTACCTTCCAGAAAAGTTTACTTTCTTTTCCAGGCCTGGCGTTGCGGCGTGGCCTTTGCATTGGTTCTTTCGTTCGTACAGACAGAAGAGCCTGCCGCAGGCTCTTCCAGCCCCTGCTGCTGCTCACAAATCTGGTGGGTATTGGCTCAGGCACATGATTCATTTATAATATGCAATTCCATTCCATAGGGCTTTAGGCCAAGTGGAGATAAGGATGACTGGTTTTTTGATGTTGTTTGGACGAGCATTTGCCAACATCGTGAGGTCAGGAGCCGAAGCCACCCTCCGTGGGAGGCATTCTGCACCGGTGCTTTCAGGCAACGGATTCGATTCATTGCTTCGACAAAATGACAGACATGACAGAGGACGAAAAGGACTCGCTTTTTGCACATCGAGGTCGTTGGTTTGATCCCAAGCTGGCTCCATTTGCTTCGGCGCAGCCTTCCTGGTGCAGTGCAGGCACCAAGAGCATGTCGAATTGAACAAGTTCCAATGTTCATCAATTGGAGACTGAGACATTGCCAGGTCTCTCCTTTGTGGGAGCTGCAGCTTGGGTTCCGAAGCGATCAGGCAATTCGATCCAGAGCTAGGTGTTTGCATCCGCCATTCGCCATTCTCCCCCAGGTTCAGATTATTTCAGACTCCTGGTCGGTTACCATTCCTGATCTCTGAAATGTCGGACTGCAGGGAACTCCACCTCGTGGGCAAGTGATTCTGTGGGATGCCTCACGTGGGCACTTCGCAGCTTGTTCATGTTTGGAGTCTGCGAAACACGATAGTTTGGGTCTGTCCTATTATAACCTGTAACAGTCAGTAAACAATAATTACTAGTTTTGAACAAGGCCTTTACTAACCATCATCATCCACTGTTGCAGGTATTGGGATAGACCCAAACGATAGTTTCGCATCGCTATGCATTTTTGTGTTGCTCGAGCTGCTAAGACGATTGACTCACTGCCAAAAAGGCTGACGCGCTGCAACTTTCGCAAGAAAGCATGCTGAAGCAACAAATCTTGATGCTGCAACCAAGGCAGACATCATTGGCGACCAAAAGGCCACTTTACAACAAATTCCACCGGGGAAATACAGGGGATGTCTTTTTGTTTTTTGATGTTCAATCAATCACACGACTTTGTGATATTTGTGCATCCCAAACCGTCTCATGATTGGTTTTCATATCATATGTTTTCATATTGTGCCATCCGCCATCCTCAGACAGATATGACCGCCTCATACCATCGGCCATGCATCAGTTGATGCCGACAATCAGGAGATGGAGAACCTGGGCCGTGATATAGCGACACGGCAAGCGGTGGCCACGAAGTGCCCTTGGCTGCAAGCAGGCTCTTCACACGCCAACCCCCCAAAACCAAGGGAACAGCGCGAAAGATGCTCTACAACGCCATTTCGGAGGAAACATGAATGCGAAGTGAAGGTCCACATGACCTGATGTGAGGCTTATCACCTCTGCAGCAATCTCGGAGACAGGTGGCATCCAAAAGGCCTGGCGACAGGTAGTATTTTTGGTCCGTTGATATTTACATGGATGTGAGCAGAAGACATTTTTCCGGCACGTGTTCTTTTGTGAGTGAAGTGCTTCAAGTATTTTCAAGTCTTTGTTCCAGGACGCTTGTCCAGTTTTTTGTGTCTCTTACTGTCATCTCTGGCACAGGCTGAAGGTGGACCCGATCCCCGCAGTATGTCGCTGGAAAGATGCTACGAGGTTCTTTCATTTGCTATTGCCATGTGCGATTGTCCTTCCTCTCCAGCATCGCATTCTAATTTGTTTGCAGGTTTTGAAGCTGTCCAGAGATGATGTACGGGCTGCACAGTCAACCTCCAAAGAGGCGCAGAATCCTTTTTTGCTTTGCACAGCAGCAAAGGCAAGAGCATGCAAGAAAGACAAATAAAACATAACAAAATTATACCAGCGTAGACACCAAACAGTTTGTGCGTTTATGAAGTTAAACACAGAGACGAACTGTCAAACCGTCAACGGTTCAAACCGTTCCAGCTCGCGGTGATCAGCTCGGACCTTCTGGGCGTGTTTCAGCACTTGGCTCAATTGGCTCAAGGTCACAACCGACAATTCAGACGAAATAGAACGCAAATCTACTGAATATGCTGAGTTGTACTGACATGTGGCTTTATCATGATTGTTTGGCTAAAAGATGTTAAAAGCTTTCAACCAAAATGTGAGACAAGCAGGGACACAAGAAGGGAGACAAGTGAAGAAGCGAGGGAGACAAGCACGGGGACAAGTGGAGACAAGTGTAGCAAGAAGGGAGACGAGCAGGGAGACAAGTGGGACAGCGTAAAGCCACTTGGCCAAGAGTGTCTAAGCAGGGAGCAGGCGAAGAGGCAAGCGGAGACAAGTGTAAAAGCGTATCCAGAGCAGGCCGAGACAATTGGAGACAAGTGAAGCAAGAAGGGAGACAAGCAGGGAGAGAAGTGTAAACTCATCCAACCGAGAGCATAGAAGCAAGAAGACAAGCAACCGGCCAAGTGTAATCCAAAGTAGGCTGAAAAAGTGGAAGACCAGTGGAGACAGGTGTAAAAACAAACATCCGGCCAAGTGTATCCAGAGTAGGCAGAGGAAACATCTCACGCGGCCCAGAGGACCCAGAGGGAGACAAGCGCAAAAGCATACAGCCAGAGCACCCAGAGTGTATTGGAGACAAGGAGAGACAAGTGGGAGACAAGTGCAAAAGCATGCAGCCAGAGCACCCAGAGTGTATTGGAGACAGGGAGAGACAAGGGGGAGGCAGACAAGGGAGACAAGTGGGAGACAAGTGTACAATCACGCGGCCAGAGCAGCAGAGTGTACTGGAGACAGGAAGACGAGGGAGACAAGTGACAAGCGGGAGACAAGTGTAAAATCATGCGGCTCAGAGTGAGAGACAGCTGCAACATCATTCGTGTGGCAGGAACACAAACCGGGAGACACATGCAAAATCACGCGGCCCGCCCTTTCAAAGGAGTAAGAACCCCTCACAGCTAAACCTGTTTGGGGAATAAAATCATGCGGCCAGAGCACTGAGAGCATCCAGAGCTTACTGGG